TTCTGACCTCAGTTATCCTACAGTCCTACAACTCGACCACCTCTCTTCCTATATTTCTGGCTGTCTCCAGAACGGCTAGTACTTGATAAAGGCATGACCACAACTCCAAGTGGCCACACAAAGTGTCATTTACTGGTAAGTACAGACTAAATAACTGGGGCAGCACAACTGACTGAAAACTGCTTCAATTGCTGAGCTCAAAGAGCTATGAGCAGCAGCATTAAGTCTAGCTGGAGGCCAGTCACTAGTGGTATATGCCAGGCATCCACATGGGAGCCAACACTGATTAACCTCTTTATTAACAAACAGGATTTGGGGGCAGAGCGCACCCTCAGCAAGTTTGCAGCTGACAGAATTGATGACGGTGCCATCATTCAGAGAGACCTTAACTGGATGGCGATACAGACCAACACAAATCTCATGCAATTCAACAAAGGGAAACACAAAGTGTTCCACCAAAACATGCACCAGTCCAGGCTGGGGGACTACTGGCTGGAAAGTGACTTTGCAGAAAATGACCTGAGCGCCCTGGAGGACAAGTTCAACATGAACCAGCGAAGGGCCTTTGCAACAAAGATGGCCAACAGCATCCTGGGCTTCATTAGGAGGAGTGTTGCTATCAGATCAAGAGAGATGATTCTTCCCCTCTTCTCAGTGACACCACACCTGGAGGACAGTGTCCAGTTCAGGGCTCCCCAGTACAAGAGAGACAGTGACAGACCAGAGAGTCCAACAAAGGATCACAAGGATGATTAAAGGTCTTGAGCATCTGTCATACAAAGAGAAGCTGTGAGAGGTAAGACTGTTCAGCCTGGAACAGAGAAGACCCGGCACTGGGGAGGGAAGGGTGACTTACAGTGTGTATAAATACCTGATGGGAGGGAGTAAAGAAGGAGAGAGACACACTCTTCTGGGTGGTGCCCATTGACAGGACAGGAGGTCAGAGGCATAAATTGAAATGAACTCCTACATAAAGAGAGGAGAAAGCTGTTCATTGCAAGGGTGATCACACACTGTTAGGGACTGCTCATGGAGACAATGGAGTCTCCATCTTTGGAGGTATTCAAGACCCAACCAGACATGGTCCTAAGTAACCTGTTCTAGTTAGTTGATTGTGCTCGGTCAGAGCAGGGGGTTAGCTAGACAAAGATGAAAAAACTGCTATGGGTGCAATTAGCTTAGTACCTTCCTGCTCTCCATGACATTCACCCAAAGAGAAGGTGGTCACAAACAGTTTACCCCAGAGAACCAGATACCACCTGCACGGTGAGCTAGATGATGTGTTCACTGCAAGTCCTGGACAGGAGGTTCAAAAGTGGCTGAAATCTCAAATTACATGGACAGCCAAAGCAAGCCTGGGAACCAGAGCTGCCAAGGCCAAGCTTAAGCAAAAAGAATTACCAGCACACACTCTCTCAAGAAGCTTCAGACAGCCCATAAAACAAAGGGATCTGAGGAAAAGAACAGAATACATTTGATCTTTGACCACGGGTAGAAAAGCACATCTGAGGAGGATCCTTGGACTTCTCAGAAGATAAGACACACAGCGTTTTTATATATACTGGCACTAAAGACATCTACTTCTGAGAGGACTTCTTCAGAGGAGTTACTCAAGTGGCAGCCCATCAAGTCCTCAGATTTGACTTCTTATCTACAGTCCAAACTCACAGACCGATTCTCCATGACAAAGCTAGAAGAGTTGGGCAAATGAACTGTCAAGAAGTGCACCTTGCTGGAAACAGTCCAAAACCCAAACCTCATCCACTTCTGTCAGAGCTGGAAGGGCCTGGTTCCCATCAAATGTTGATGTCAAAGAGAGTGGTGAGATGTCTGTAATCATCTACACATACACTTTCTGAAGGTCTGATGATGTCCTGAGGTCCTTTCCAACATGAATGACTCAGTGATTCTAAGATCTTAAGTATTCTGCAAATCAGTGAAAGGCAGCTTGATTGGTTAGAGGAACAGCAACTCACTAAAGTGCTGCACTCCATACAGAACCACTGCCAAGGGCCAAATGCAAAACCCATGCAAGCACAGCAAATGTTCACGCTGCCAGGGATGCCAATACCAACAGTCTATTGCAAGAAAGAGTGGGTGAAGAGTCAGGACACTTTTTGCAGAGACCACAAAACCAGGCAATTTACTCAGTAAAGAGAGAATCTTTCACATCTGAGATTGACCCAAGAAACCATGAACACTGAGATGGAGCAAGGCATGACTTCTGGCCATCGACAGAAAGCCCAAAGCTGATAGGAAGAGAATGTCACACAGAACAGTCAAAGGGCCTGGCTTATTCTAAGATTACTTATCTCACTGACTGATCAAGAGTATTATCTACCTGCAAAGAAGATGGTCCTGTTGCCAGGACCTTGGTGAAACCTTAGAAAACCATGGAAAAGTCATCACAATCAGGAAATAACGACAAAGGACCAATCAGATAGTTCTGTTAAAAAAAAACAATGTGACTCGAGATGGACAGATACAAATTTCTTCTTTTCATTCCTAGAAAATTTGTACTAACGCCACCAGCTGAAATTCAAACTTGACAGTGCCAGTGTTCCGTTTCCTAAATCAAAGATGCTGCCTCCCCACCCCTGTTTGCTCAGAGGTAGGGAAGCGGCCATGGTAAGACACTTTGTCCATCATCTGTACTGACCCAGTTTCTACAGAATCTTTGGGAGGAACAGCATTTATCTGCAGACACAATATCTTGTCCAAAAGTCTAAAGCACGAAGCTGAATGGCAACTTGATCAAATAGATTATTAAAAAACACAGACACCAAACCAGAAGGTTGATCTGCCCTGGAAGGAGCAGGAGATGGTGCCAATAGAGGGCAAAGAGGAAGCAGGTTCAGGACTCTTGAACGGACCCTCTAGAGCCCTGTGAAAGAACTGCTGCTGTCAAACTGCATGAAAGATTTTCTAGAGCAGCATGGGGACTGACTCTGTGACACAGCTCAAGCAGGTGGCAAGAAAATGGCTGGTCCTTTCTAGGCAATGCAGCATCCCCAGGACATGAGTGGGAGCCCTTAGGAAAAAAAGGCAACTGAAGAGACTTCATAAATCTTCAGTCTGGAGGAGACACTCCACTGAGATGCACACGCCCTTGGGTAGTACAGTAGTCCTGTAAACCTGTCGTGAAATCCAAACTCTTAATATGTCCAGATACAGCATCTGGTTTAAAATAATATAGGCAATATTACATAATGACCTTTCAAAACAAGTTCCCATGTAAGTTAAAATACACTACAGGGAAACAGCTTATATTAACTTCAGTTAAGTTTTATTTACACTAAACAGAAATTACCAAATCAGGAACACTGGAGGTACAAAAAGGGGCTTTCCGGAAAGGTGCCTGGCTGCCTCAGGTTCCTACTCCAAGAAGGAGAGAGACCTTGGGTTTTGGAGTGTTGCCAGCAAGGTCCAAGAGCAACAAGACAGGCAGGCAAAATGAGCAGAAGGAACCAGCCCCCTAACGATGGAAAAAGGCAGTTCGTGTATCCAGCAGCACCCTGGGGCAACGTTGCAGCATCAGGGCAGGATGGCTACCAGACAGCGTGGCACCTGATAGCACTGTGAGGTGGTCCACATACTGCAGCCAAGGATACTGCAAAACTAAACTTTTCTGGATTCACATGGCAAATCGTGAGCATATCCATTCATCAAAGCCTTCCTTTGAACAAGAACATAACATCATTCCAGGACACTCAGTGTATACAAGTTGACCAAAGTATGTGACACTAAATACCAGTACTCTGACATTAAAGGCAGCCAGGAATAGCAATAAATACAGTTTGAGGAAATTAAGCTGCCAAAAGTGTGGGTTTACAAGGCTTGTAAACAAGGTAACAAAGCAACCCAAGATACCAGAGCAATGCAGCGGTTCACGGTACTCCAAGAAAGGATTTTGACATTGAGAGACTGGTTCAGCAAGACTTTAGTCTGAAACAAACTGAGTCATTTGAACAGCTTAAGAATACCTACACATAGCATGTATTTGGTTTATTAGTCTAACAAAACAAAAAACACAGATTCAGTGACTGCAGAGAAAGAAACTACATGCACATTTTTTGCAATGAATTCATTCACTGTGGGATCTAATCAGCTGCATTTTGAGAAATTTCATCCATCACTTGGAATTTTTAAGGGATTTCAGATTCAAATCTCTTTCTAAAAAGCTGTGGTCCAGCTCAGCGAAAAAAAGAACTAGTCTTGCACTTCTCATTCGGTGAAATTCTGCTTTCCTATAAAAGCTGGCTGAATTAGATATGAGTGTTCTCCCATATAGTGACAGCCTGCATTGCTTTCCTGTACTTACAAAAAAAAATTCAGCAGGCAGAGTCATGTAAACACCCCAGACTTTTTCAAACAGAACTTCTTCCTATTCAGCTTTTATATGCCATTACACAATTACCCAAATTGAGCGTAACAACATAAGATGCCTCGGTCCCAACCATCCACAGATAGTAGCAACGGTGGATGACCAACATCTCTATCAGCAGCAGCTGCCCTTCATTTTACACTTGTTCCATTTGTCAAAAACGGCACAGAGTGACAGTCCTGCCTGTTTTCTTGCAGCCTGATTGGTCATGGACTCACCTACAAAATGGTGGCCTGGTTAAAAAAAAAAAATGCACAAGACCAGTTTACCTGTCTGCACAGTCTAGGGCAGCGTGAGGACTCCTCGTCTACAGCATCCTAGGTGTGCAGCCATGGGGCGATGCTGTGACCGAGGCCGGGCTGAGCTTTTCCAGCCCTGCTCCAGATTCAGAACTGCCCATAATTTACATAACCTTCACCTTCAGTTTTGAAAAGAACCAACACTTAAGGTTAAAGCAGCAAAAGAAAATGCCCCCTGTCAGAAGAAGGAATCCGTTGTCAAGGCTAAGTGTAATGGACTGCGAGAGAGCCAGGCAGTCCCTGAAGGCCTGCACCCCTTAAATACATTTAATACATGTGAGCAATGACTTACTGACTTGCCTGTAGGTATGGAATTAAAAGCCAAGGAAGAAGAGGAAAAAGTAATCTAGATAAATGACTTTATTCCCTGAGGTGACATCCAGTCACAGCATATCCTCAGTGCTGTGCAAGTTTTAACAGAATCGTGAATAGTGAACAGAGGGATACATGACTTATATGCTGCTAAACTACATGCCTCTTAGCTTATGCTCTGCCTCTCCTAGGAAGATCTAAGGACAGTTCACTCAGCTGCACTAAATCCATTTGATGTGAAAAGAGAGTGTGTGCGAGGGGGGGAAGGACTCAGAAGGGCGCTGAAATGTCAGCCGCGGAGGATTAGGGCTGCACGCTACACCCTCTCATTTTTAGCATGCACATACTGTCGAGCACAAGCTTGATGGCTGGCTTGCAGGCATAGATGATGGGTGCGGGGGAGGGTTAAGAGCTACATATTTCTACCCTCTGCAATTATTTTCTTTAAAGTGCTGAAAGTGGAAAATAAAGAGAAGAGCAGCTGAACAGCCTGACAGATTTATCTTCTTTAGGGAAAGAGCACATACACCTGCACAGGCACCTTTTTCTTTAGAAAAACAAAAATCCTAAGCGATTGCTATCTGCAATCTTAACGTGCTGGGTGTAGAGAAGAAATTTCATGAAAGGTAAGTTAATCCGATCCCTCCAGTTGCCAGATGCTCTCCTCTGAAGTGCGGCTCTAAACAGCCCATAGGCACTGTGGGTTTTAAAGATCTCTCCGTGACCAAGACCTGGTGATTTCTTTGTTCAGAAAATTTCTTCCCACTGTAGCTGTTTTCTCAGTTAAACCAATTCAAAGGCTCCTACCGCACAGCTAAAGTAGGAGTCTGCAGAGAAGCGGGGACCTCTAAGACTGCTCTATTTACCCCAGCCCTTCCTGGACCAGAAATATTCTTACTTGTAATGACATTTCTATCAGCATCAGCAGCTTCTTGATACCGATCCAGACAGGCTTCCCTTTGACATTCTGTGCAATAGTGCTGCGTTCCTTGTCTTTGAAGTTACCCAGGAGCTGGGGGGGAAAAAATATTTAAAATATATATATATATATATCAACAACAGCAGTCTGGCAGTAGGAATGATGCCACCTAACTCAGGAAAAGGGGAATGAGAAGCTAGAAAGCATTTTCTAGCTTAGAAGGAAAATTCGTTGCAATATATCTAGACAAGGCAAAACACTTAGTTGCTTTTATTCCATAATGGTTCTTTTCGTGACCTCTCTAATCAAACACTTAGTGATTCTCTTTATGATCCACAGAAGAATAAATACAGTGGCTCAAGCCACAGTAAGTTTTCAAAACTGCTGCAAGTGCCTGTGTCTTTCAGGCTTTAGCGATATTACCATGGTGCCAACTTTTCAAGTCTGCCCAAAAGATTTGCCTGTTAAGCTTATTTTAACAGCCTTCAATATTCACTGCAATTTCCACTATGGCATAGAATAAGAAGCCATTAAGGGCACGAATTTATAAAGAACCTACAATCTCTCCAGCACCAAACACCTTCATTTGATATTGCTCCAATTCATGAGAGCTTGGCACCCTCCAGGCACATTCAGTGTAAGTGCCCCAATTATATTCATTACCCATTTCCATGCCCTTGTAATCTTTCAATCCACTCCACAAACTTTTTCCCTAGACCTACCGTTCCCTCATTTCGCCTTAATTTATTGTATGAAAAAGTAATTCAGAAAAGCCTTAGAACTATTACATTATGACACAATGTTAAGTGGGACACTGCTCCCAAACGCAGAGCGACCGCAAAGTCACTCATTTCCAGCAAGTTTTGAGCTTGCCTGTCATCCTCGAACTTTCTCTCACCTCCAGAGCCTCCATCAGCTGCTCCCCCGTTGCAATGTTGGGCACATGAATCGTAGTGCTGAAAGCATTCAGCATTTCCATTTCCTGCAGGACATCTTTGCGACTGGTGGTTCCAATGATGAGAAGCTTGCGACCCTGTCCACACAATGGAACACGTGTCAGGAAAGGGAAAACAAAAGAAAAGAGAAGAACCAGTCTTGGGAAGCTTCAGCTAAGTGCAAATGAAAACTACAAAATGGCCATGTAAAAATACCACTTACAATAAAATTAATAGGACTAATCTGTCAGTAATTGAAGTAGTCAACATCAACCACACAAGACCAGGATCAGATTCCAGAAGGCAGAGTAATGCCACCAACAAGGTCCAAAAATTACGGTACACAGAAGACTCATCCATGCTTACAGCTTTCCTACTCTACCCTTCCCTCTGAAGTCATCATGATAAATAGCTAAATCCCCACTAAATTCAAAAGCATGAGCAAACCCCCACTCCCAAAAGCTGAATTACAGATGACTTCTCGGGGGAACAGCCCGTCTTTAGAAATCCTGTGGGTACAGTGACTTCTCTGTCACTGCACAGACAGTTCCAATGGTTTCACAGCTCAGCTTTAAGAGCGGAGGTTGCCCTAAGTTCGTAAGACCTCCCATGGCCAGTGTGGCTGTATAAAAGGACAGCACCACGTCTGGCAGCCTCCGAGTTCAAACCGACAGCGCACACACCAGCTCCAAGTTGGCCTGAGCAATAACAGGGTTTGTAAATAATAGAGCAACAACTGGAAAACACCAACTGCCAATAAAAAACAGCTTTTGCAAGTTCATCTAGGACATGCCATTTCAGTGCTATTTGAGTTTCACCAAGCAGTGTTCAGACACTGATAAACGCCGGCTGACGGAAGGAGCTGTTGGGATTATCAGCTGTGATCGGTCCCTTTTCCAGTTTGGACATGGGTTGAGCCCACGGGTTGAGGACAGGCCTGGCTGGCTGTCCAGAAGTTTAGCTGATGCTCAGAGACAAAGTTCTATATTTCAACTTTGTGACACAAAACTCTGTTCATCATTATAAAAACAAAACAAAAAACCAATCTAAAAACTATCCCTACAGAACAGCCAGACTTAATTTCACAAGTGCTTTGCATTCCTTTGACAGAGGATGAAAACCTGTTCACACTTAATACACCTTTGATGAAGACGATGCCTCTTCGTAGCATCTGTTTATTTTTCCCCGAGTGCCATTGTGCTCCCTGACTTTCTGTGTGTGAGCAGATTACACTCCTGCTCTGGGTGATGGACAACGAGAAAGCCTCAGAACTGGTAACGCGCCCGAGTGCTCACTTCAAGTTTGTTTTTAGCTGAAGGCAGCGCAAGGAAGTAACGCCTGGCAGGCTGGAACCAGGGCATGCCCCAGGTCAGGAGCTCCACACAAAGGCTTTGTCAGGGAAACACTGCCTAACCCTTCTGCGTATTAATCACCGTCTGCATCTCAGGAGGCACCACGCTCACCAGCTCTGTCACCTCTTTAGAGGGGGAAATCCTCAGAAACCTACTGGGCAATTTACTGGGGGGAACGCGGTCAGTTCCTGATCTGATGACAGAAATGCCAGGCTTAAAACTGCAGTGGGAGCGGGGAATGCTTTATTACCAGACAAAACTCACCTGTCGGCAGCACACAGCAAGCAGGAAAAGGTCTGAGTGTCTAAAAATGTCTGCAGGTAGCCCTGAGAAGGACATACCGCACCCGCAGAAAGCACAAACACCGCTGTTCTGCAGGCTGCTGCTTCCACTGTGTTCTCGGAATGTTCACGGCAGCACAATCGCACGGTATTTCTTTCCTTTTTGACAGTCATTGTGTAGAAAGGCCAGGAAAATATTTTATCGTTTTACAAGTTTGAGCCAAATCTGAGCAATTCAGTAAGATCTTGCATGCAAAGATGAAAACGCCCTCAGTGGAGAGTGAGTGAATGGCATTTGATCCTCACTCCTACTAGGAATTCAGAAAGCCCCATCACGTGCTCATTTTCAGCTAAAGCACTTAATAGACCAAGAAAAAATAAATTATGCTCAGGCACAGAAAAGCTTTTTGCCCACATAAAGACAAAATTTCAGCGGTCTTCATCTTTGGAAGGGGTTGGTCAAACAGACTTTAAACACAAGGCTTGGAAGCTGTGTGCAATGAGTCCCTCAAGAACACTTGAACTATCACCTGCTCGTGACCGCAGAAGCATGGTACAAACACCTCTGACATTCGCTCTGAAGTTACCACCCAAGGACAAGGTTAAAAGGTGCCTTCAACTTGCTAAGATACACTTGGGATAACAGCACGTCAGAGCAGAACTGATGTATGCTTAAAATCTTCAGAACACGGAAACAGGGATTATCAGCAGGTTTGATTGAGAAAATTTAATCTCAATTCTGATTTACTTTGCTTTCATGGTTGGTCTATATTTCCTCAACACACTGTCCTCAGTGAGTTTTTGTTTAATTCATAAATAATGCTGATATATCTGATATTATATAAGTAAAAATTACAAGCCCTTCAAGGTGAGTTTCTGCTACCTTATTGAAAAAACTGTAGCCGTGTGCATGCTGTCAGGCACCTTCAAAGAGTTTCCTCGTTATACAGGTAAGGCACAAGGGTACAAAGGAAGCCGAAGACAGACTCTTGAACAGCGCTGAGACCTCCAAAACATGCACCAACCCCCTCTTGCAAGCACAAATCCATGCAATGCTATAGCACCGAGGCTGATCTGCCTTACAAGCTCTAGCAATTCTTTTAAGAAATTGTTTATTACTGTACATAACTCAAAATGCAGAACAGCTTGGGGAAGGGACTGTGCTAATAACAGTTTCCCATGAACATTTTCGGGGACAAAAAAACCTGCTCAACTGCGGCCAGCAAGGCAGTATCTGTTCCCAAAATACAGCTAACACCATGGGCACGGTGCCTGACGCAGCAGATAAGGCATCAATCAAGGGAATAACCACTTGCAGCCTCACTGCTTGAAGGATGCTACCTGAGCAGCTTTCACACTGACAAAGTCCATGTTTGATTATAATAACAACAGAGGCCCGTTTGGAGTTTCACCAGAGACTAAAAGGTCTCGTTAGGAAAGGATGTAAGCAGAAGTGTCATTAGTGGGGTGAGTTTTACCTCCTGTAACTTCAGATGCCCATGTACGATCTCACTCTCTGCATTTCCTTCTTAGTTAATGGAGCCCGGGTGACACATACCTCCTCCCAGAAAAGCTGCCTACACTCTGGACTCATACAGCAAACTATTTTCTAAACAACTAGTTCAGTCATATAAAACCAAACCGCTGACAGCCACATTTAGCCAGATGAATCCCAAACTTGCTGTAAATCAGGCCAGCGGACAATTACCACACACACAAAAATGACTCTAAATGACTTATTACCATTTAGGAAAGCCACAGGAATTGGTCATTGTGGCAAGTTCTGTGAAGACACCAGCTCAATGCTAAACCTTACTCAAAATGCAAACAGACATTTTTAGAATGGAAAGAGAGTAAAACAAAAGTCATTGTTCCACTGTATGAATCCCGAGTGCTCTTTAAGACGCTGCAATCCAGCCATTTCAAATACAATTTCAAATACATCTCTGAGTTGGAGAAATGGGGGCGGTCAGAAATACGCAATAACTTCCCTAGACTCTTGGTAAATGGATAGTGGGTAAACAGAGAGGTCTATAAAATCGTAATGGCGTAGAGGAGACGGGGGGGAAACCGCTGTTTCTCAAAATAAAAACTAGGGAGCACTACCTGAAATTACGAAGCATCAGTTTTCAACTGAACAGAAGGATGTTTGCTTTCACTGCACAGTTCAGCTGAACTCAAGCAAGCACGACACTAGGAATGGCAAAAGCTTAACAAGGTGCAAAAGCAACAGGACAAGTTAACAGAGGTCAGACCCCTCAGCAATTTTTAGATATCTCTGTCAGGACCCACGCTCAGGACCCTGAACTCTGATGACTGAATCGTTGAAAACTCCTCAGAACAGATGGCTACTCTGCAAAAGAGTGCTTAAAATTTTTTCTAACAGCTCCACCCAAAACAGGCTGATTTTTTCCCTGCTTTCTTGAAAAGCAGCTATGTGCTTCAACTTGCTACCTTTAAACTTGACCCACCGAAAAACCAGTTACCGTAAAACAAGCATAATCTCTGCTGTATCAATTACTAAAAGAAAATGAAGTGTCAAGAGCCCCTTGTACTTTTCAAAGTTTCAGGCAACTTGCTCAGCAAATAAGTGGAAAACCTACAAGTCAGAAATGTTTGGCCCCAGGCATCACCACAAAGGCATGAAAAGCCATCAAGCCAAATTGAAAACGCTGCCCTCATCCAAATGCTCTGCAGTGACAACACGCCACAGGGTATCACTGCATTTATTCTTGCTGTTGTGAGATGCACTGCTGAAGTGCCCTCATTTTCAGAAATACTCACATTTTGGATCCTCAATTTCTACAGCAACCATCGCAAAGGCAACGTGCTGTGTGCTCAGACCACAGAAGATCAGCATTTGAGCTGAACTTCCAAAAAATCAGCCATAACAAGAGAGCAGCTACCAAGTAAGGAAGAACTTGGCTTTTCAACAGTTGAAGATCATTTGGTTTCAGACTGATTATCAGGGCAGTTCTAGGCCTAGTTCTTCTATCAACAGAGATTAGATACAAGCACGTCACTTAAGTCTGGATTCATCTTGCCCATTTTCAGACAACTGTCCCAGTTCAGAGCCCAGGATCCCTCTGCCCTGATGGGGGGATACCCAGTAGAGAGGTGTGTGTCTTGCCCCGCCACCTTCTAGAAGTGGGATAACCCCAGATTTCACCTCTCTGCTACAGGGATTTTATGTGAATAAAGGACATAATCATGCAGAGAACTATGGGACTCAAAGATCAACAGAGGAAGTAGTTTTAAATTTTCAAGCATCATGAGACACAGTATGCACTTCCTAATGGGCACCGTGTTACTGCATTGAGCACCAAGACAAACTAGAACATAAAAGAATTACACAGACTCTACTACGAGCAAATGGAGTCTCGACATGTCAGATGAGTCTCCAACTACAGAATTTCAGCAAATCTAGCCAGCCCTAGGCAAGGGGAGTCGAGGGGAACTTGAACTATGCTATAACCAAGTCCTGGTGGATACCGAAGTGCCTCTGTCAGTCACCCACCGGCTGTTCACTCAACTTTGGACACTTGTCTATTTTTACACATGTGTTTTGGGGTATCAACTATTCTCCATATGTAATGGGAGAAAACACAGTTCCCCAGGTTTACAAGTATAAAGGTAGTGCCATCGTTGGTTGGAGTTGCCTCCAATTCACACCAAGTGACGTGGAGTCAGGAATGCATCTGGGATTATATCAAACAAGGAGATTATTCCCCCCTTTCTCCCGTCAACTTTCATAAATTGGCAAAAGCCTCCAGTGTCCCGGAGAGGAAAGGGGCTGGGGGCCTCTGGGAGCAGTGGAAGGGCATCCACAAGAGTGGTCGAGAGCATCTCGCTAAGCCAGACATTTCATAACACTGCACAAATTGTACGTCCAGCTTAGCGCGGGGATGCTGCAATGGTCTTTCACCCTTTGAGCCAATTGTTAGCTTTTCACAGGAACCAGCAGGGAAGCACATGTGAAACCTCTGTGGGGCTGGTGAGTGTCTCCATGCCTTGTGTGACTCTGCATGTAGATGAAGCAGCTTCGGCTTTCGGAGCTGCTGCTGCTTAGTTCTCAGAGAAGTCCTTTTCTCCCGCTTGGCTCCCTGCTGCGACAGTCCTTTTCAGTCTTTCTATCCCCCCCCAAGTCTCTTCTCCTGCACAACACAGGGAAACTTGATTGAAATAAAGACCCAAGAGAACATGGTTTATTTTCTTCTCTTCAATCCATTTTAGAAAAGATTTTTAATTGGTTTAAAAAAAAAAGATGCTAAACAAAATGCAGTGTTTTTCAGTCTTCTTGAACTAGTAGTAACAGATACCACTATTTAAGCATTGCTGAGTGGAACTAGGAAGCACAAACTGTGACTAGGAATTTAAAGCAAGCTCAGAGAAGCTTCTAGTTTCATTAAAGTCTAACATGTTTACTTGCAAAACTTCTGCAAAGCACAAACAAGCTAGAGAGCCCAGAAAACCAGAAGCTTCAAGTATTTGTCCCTTCCACATCACGTTAAAACAATATAGCCTCAATAGGAAGAGGGGAGTCTGGGAGGCAGCTTTCATAAACCAATTCAACAGAGACATATACCTCAATGCATAATTAATAAGATTTCACCCCAGAAATGCTCCTCTTACACACACAGCCTACAGTAACTGTAGGAAGCTGCTTGCACATTAAGTATACTCTCTGCAAGTGATGTGACAACACCGTGTGAATACATAATCTGGGCTACAAAGATGGGAGCGGCAGAGCTGCGCTGCGAAACGCACCCTCTGCTTCCCACTCACTCCTTGCTTGAGGTTTCAACTGCTTCATCATTCCTGTTTCTAAGCTTTTCAAATCAACTCTGCATTTCAGGCCCCTCCGACTACTGAAATGGTGAAGAGCCTACCCGACAGCAAGGGAGAACAGGTATTGTCTCCCCAGCATCTTGTCAACCATCTCTCTCAGCACAGGGACGTGCCTGGCATGTCCCAGGACAGCCCATTTGTACAAGGAATGAACCTAAACCACGATCCCAATCCCACAGAAATTCGTGTCGGTTTGACCTCACGAAGCAGGTTAATACCACTGATGCTACTCATGGACATTTGAAGCATGTATCTGCATCTCAAATTACAACAAAACCCCTGAAACCAGCCATTACTTCCAAATAAATTGCTCCTCAAGGGAACTAGTCATCTCAGGGGGAACTTGGAAGGGCGTTGATTAACCGGCAGTATTATCTCCCTTGTGGGTTTCTCACTTGAGCTTAAAAACCCCAAGAGTCTCCATGCCTAAATTCAATCTTTTTCACAGTAAACATTCACAGCAGAAAAGGCCTTTTCCTGCATGACTCTACCTCTTATGCACTGTTTTGGTTTTTCTTAATGAAAAAAAAAACCCACACGCCGTGACTATCACAGGGAACTCACAGGAAACAAACACGCTAGGAAGAACCCTGTCATCAGAACTGCCAAACTAGGACAGCCCAAAGGGTCCGTCTAACCCAATGTCCTCATTTCCACAGTACCCAATAGTGGACACTTAAAAAAAACCCCAACAAAAAACCCAACCCACATCATCAATCAAACAGTGACATTTCCTCAGAAAACTCTCTCTCTACCCTCCAACAATTTATGGCTTAAGTCACCATAATATTGGCTGTCAACCCAAAGTCTTCCAGCCTCAAGGGCATTTCAAACATTGCAAAGTACAAATCTCAGCAACATGCATAAACTTGGCAAATATCTGAGCGCTTCAAGCCCAGCATCCTGCTTTCAGGGAGACTCGGGTGCCAACAAAACTGCATCTAAGCAGCAAAACACATTCAGAGGATGCAATGATAAATGGACAATTGAATATTTTAAGTTCCTTCGACAAGTGAACCAAATCAAGCTCTATTTTCCCCTATCGATTTACGGGAACAGTCATTTCCTGGTACTGTGGAAATACTCAGCAATAGGCTAACGATTACCTGACACTATGACGATCAAAACTGGTTGTGCTGTTGCACCAGGCAGCCTTTCTGTTCCAACATATGGGATAACAGCAGCCAAGTTGTATGTTAGAGACTTCCTGTGGCATAGAAAGCTCGCTGGAAAAAATCTTTGTTCTCCCAGGTTGACAGTCATAAGGGGAACTTCAGGGCCTGTGGCACTACAATGTAGTTCAAAGTTCTAGATTCGAAAGGTCTTTTCACCAAAATCTCTAATGAAAACAATACTCACACATATGTTACTGTTTCCAGGATATTAAAAATGACACAAAAATTGAGCTCATCCAGGCTGTGCTTCTCTGCTTTTTCCTGACACCAACTTTCAAGTTTTTCCTGGTAGTATGTTATTTATTCATGCAGATACTTTCACACACAGAGCAGAATTCCAGTGAACAACAGGAAAAATGACAAACAAAAAAGAAGAGCCCCTGCCTGTTTGTCTCACTCGGTGTAAGCTTCAGCAATGTTATCACTTGTGATGTTCTTAAATTTCATCAAGCCAGAAAGTGCAAATAGACAGGATCAGCATGAGATGTAAGATCTTAAGATTTCCTCACCCATTGTAATTAACACCTGATAATTTCAAGTTAAGAACACATTAAACCCCTGACATTCACAGTCACACATTACTTAGAAATTGATTTCTAAATAAGGAGGGAGCACGTGGCTGAGCCAGAGATTGATTTGGACTGAACAGTTCCTTAGTTAATCAGAAAGCAGACAGCTTGCATATTTAAGTTTTACATGGTGAAGGTTAAACTTGTTTCCTTAGTCAGTATTTCTAGGGCTAACTGCAGAAGATTCAGCCTTAAGTAATTAGATAATTAAAGTTGAATCCTTTGTGGTTATCCCAGAAATGTCTAACTGAATGAACAGCAGCAGGCTCGGATTAACTTGACTGAATCACAGACAATAGCACTAATACCACTGGCAGCACAGCAGCTATCAGCAAGACACAAAGCTCTCCACTGTCAAAATTATTACAGGCATAGGGCATCTCGCCCCTCGATTGCTTTCTTACCTGAGGGGGGGCCTTCTTTAGCAGTACAAGAAGGGCTTGCAACACCAGATTAGAGAACCGTGGTCCAATTGGAACATAATCTGAAATGAAAAACACATTTTAATGCCCACTAAGCAGATGCACATTTAAGCCACTTCACTGTATCAGAAACAGTTCAAGGCTCCCCAAGTATATGGTTCCAGGTCATTTCCAGTTTGCAGTATTTCAACACTGCAAATATTTCAATATTTCTGCGCAGCAGACAACATAGCTCGCTCTCATCGTCCTGACTCACCTAGAAGTCTCTCAATGTCGTCCACAACCACACAGCTGAGTTGGGACTTGTACGCATCATCAAAGATCTAAAAAAACAGCAAAGTGACTCATTGTTAAATCTCAGCAGCAAAACTACAATACTCATGACAGGACCTGTTGACGTGTTTTTAACTAAACACAGCAGTATTTAGAGGAATACACAGACAACGAAAAAGGTAAGTACCAAGAAACTAGACTCGACCTGCATTTAATAAAACACTGCCACCTCCACAAATTCAAAGCTCAGTTTTGTTCATCTCCCCCATCCCTTTTGCAAAAAAAAGCCAGCTGCCCTGCATTTAATTGTGAGCAACAGACAAAATAGAGCACCGTTCCTCTGTTTATGGAGTGAGGCAATATTGATAATATAACAACACACACACAAATTCCCCACAATTGTAATGACGAAGCTTTTCTACCCAGGCTGGACACTGGTTACTTTTCGTAAAAGCATACTGCGGGGAGATCAGACCTACTCAAGGACGGACCAAGCCCCACATCACCCTTTACAGAGCAGCAAACCAGTGTCCTGCAAAGCTTTGGATCGAAACACTAAGTAGCAGTGAGGACACCAGTGGTACTGCAGGGCTACCTCCAGCACACGCTGATTCAAGTGAAGTCCAAAAGGCTCCTTTTCTAAATGACAAACTGGGCTTCCAGCTACGAGCACATCGCTTCTCTTGGAAACTACGCAACCCTGCAACGGACTGATCTTACAGTAACATTTCACTCACCTGCTTCATTCAGTAACGTCCAGCTAGAAGAATGAGTGCTGGCTTGCTTCAGTAAATGAAATCTCCTTCCTTCCACCTGGCTACTTGAAATGATTTAAGATGCTCAACTTGTTCACATTCTCCCTGCTCCCCAGGTTGCTAAAACTCTTGTTTAACTAAACATTACCAGCTCAAAACCGTTCCTAGTCTCCTTCAGGCAGGATCTATTCATTCCAAGTGCAACCCTAAGCCCTTCCTGCCTTCGTCTTTGCAGACAGAGCTCCAGCCTTGCTCACCACAGACCAGGTGTTTTGTTCCACTGCCGGTCACGTTTACATATAAGACCCAACTGGGACAGTGCCTCAAAATTTTCCCTGCGTCACTTTGTGTCAGTGCCACAAAAAACATTCAATCAACTTTACACATAAATCTACAGACAGGAATTTAGGACCTACAGAGAGCAGAAAACACAATCACAAGGGTAATTCACTTTTCCATCCACTAGAGAACAGAGAATTGGATCGTAATCAAGCAAGAGTAGGACACGTTAAGTACCTTCTTCATAGCTTGGCACTTGGCCGTTTCAGAAAATCCAATCATCTTATCAGGAGAACAGATCTTGATAAAGGGAAAGTTGGATTCTTCTGCTATTTTGGCTGCTAAAGCAGTCTTCCCACTGTGGGGGGGACCTGAAACAAAGGACAAACATAATGAAAAGACAAGGGAGAACACAGCCCTGGTAAGGCTCAGCACGGACGATATTTTAAGCATGTTTATAATCTCATTCAGCGGTTTTGAAATGACCTTTTCTTCTACTTGCAGAAGGAACACGCTAGCTCCTGGTGCAATCCAGCCCTCCAGATGACGGAAATTAATGCAACTATTTGAGCAGACACAGACTGTTTTGCTATGGAATCGACACAATGGAGGATGTCACACATTTTGTAGGACGGGCCACTGCACCAACATCAGCATGTGTTTGTATTTCGGAGAAATGTCTTGAACTACCTTTATGCCCCTTCTAAATAAGATTTCTGCAGGTACTGTGGCAAACAAGTCACCAGCATGAATGCCAGGTAAGTATTGACAAAGACAATTCGTTATTTGCCTGAATTCACACCAGAGTAATTCAAAGAGAGACCAAAGACACATCTTAATCTTTACACACAATACAAATCCATTTGGAGTGCAAGAAGGTATTGCCTACAAGGGATGTGTTGGCCAGAAGCACACAGAATTATGCAGGGGATCTATTCAAGGTTAATGTCCAAGCTACAGACCGCTAAGCAACAGTGGTAATCCACAATTTTTGACTTCAGGAAAGGAAGCGCTAAGTAAAAAATTTTACTGCAGTATCTGTAATGTAGATATTGGAACAGTTTCCTAGACTCTGCCTAGTCAGTAACAGCCCAGACAGAGGGCAATCCACCTCTGTCCAACAGCAGACACCTAGATGCGGCCAGATGAACTGACGTTTGAACTCAGCTAATTATGCTGATGAGCTCTCCAGAGACCTCAAAGAAAATTCAGACAAGTCACGCAGCTGTAAAACATCCACGTTTAGGTTATTAACTGGGTACATCCCCTTCTCCGTTGTGCCAGGAACAGGATTTCTCTCAGGCCGAGAAGGCAGTTTTAATAGCTACAAGCAATTTCACCCAAGTAAAGTGAAAGAGACCAATTCTAATTTTCCTCCCACGTGTTTCTTTCACGTACAGTTGCAGGATGTAACAGATGGCCACTTGGGCAACTGATAGGAACAGTTCACAGAAGTCACTTGGGGTTTTTTGTTTTTTGGTTTTTTTTTTCTTAAATTTACCTTCTAAAGGCACGCTAACCAGAGGAGTGCGGTCACTGTTCTTGGTTTGTTGGACAAGCAGCTCCCCATCATCCAATACCCTCGTTACTGGATCACCCCATTTAATAATACCATTCATGATGTAGCTTGCATAGTCTTCCTGATTGGTTCCAAACGCCTGTATTAAGAGATGGAACATTTATTTTACTGAAAAATTCTGCATCACATCAGAAAAAACATGAAACAACTAAACATGGCCAAAGTGATGCGAACCAAGACTCTGGAAGATGCTTAAGTGAGACAGTCAGCATTGGAAGACCCCTTGGTGACAAACAACATTTCAGTTCAAAGGACTGAAGACTGTTGGAGATCGTGGATGTTTAGACACAACTTGTCATATACCCTCAAAACAAGTTTGGATCAGTGCAAGTTGCCAATGGGTTCTGAATCCACGTCACTTAAAGACATTTCTCAAAAATGAGGCTTAAACCTCCTACTATAGCCCATAATAGAGCTGACATCCATTAACTGAAGTAGCCTAAAGTGGAGAGTGTACACGTGACAAGAAGAAATTCCAAATTGCTCTTTATCTGTTCTATTTCTTTTTATGATGCTTGCATGTGACAAAAGGTACAAAACAGAGCTTTAGCACTGCAGGCATTTCATTTCTACAACAGAGTATGTCAGCCCATGGGGCACCACTGCACATCTGATCCCAGAAGGAAGTTGCTACCTCACGTCATTAACTGTACTGGGTGACTATTCCAGGAGTTACACAGTGCCTACTTACTGGTTTGATATCATTCTCCAAAGATGCAAAGAAGTCTCCTCTTGTCACACGCAAGCTCTCTGCCTTCTCCATATCCACTTCCACTTTGTTGCTGGCCTAATAAAGCAATAAAAAACACTGAAGTACAGCAGTACCACACACGACCCCTTATCAACTTCCATCCACAGACCCAACCCCACAGTTGGTCTGAATCAATAAGAAAAATGCTTCTCAACAGGACCTGTGTTGGACATATGCTGGATACTGCTGGAGCCATCATCATCTTCGCAGAGCCACATCCCTGTGCCAGCCCCGCAAAGTCCTTAAGTAACAGTTGTTCCTCTCCACTGGGTGGAAAGCTGAAGTGAAGAGCACGGCCATGACCCCACATTTCAGAGAAGCCTCCCCCCCAAGAACAGGATGGAAGCTCTGCACCCTCCTTGCTGCTGCTGTGCTACCTTGACTACACAAATCAAGTACCAGTGAGGCTCAGACTGCTGCCCAGTGTGGGACTGATGCCACTTAAGTTTCAATTTCTAAAAGTTACTGGAGTTTTGTAGGTTCCCTGCAGAGCAGGGAACTACTCTTTCCATTTAGAGACTGAAGAAAAAATTCTTCGTTACGCTTTCTGGGTGCTGGATGGGAAGGGGATGAAGCCTCCTTCATTGTGTGATTTTTTTCAGAAAGACAAATTAAAATTCGGTTTAACCCACACCATCTTTGGCAACTAAGCCAAAAGTAAGAATTATTCTATTTCATGAGGTTTTAGTTTTCTATTCAAACCATGCACTTTCCATAGAAGAAAGTCTTTAAGGGGATTGGTAAATATTTGTCTTTATTTGCTTCAGTTCAACCAAAGCCATGAATCTTCCCAAGAGAGTGCTATCGGTATTACGTGGATTAAATAAGCTGCAGTTAGCTCAGCTCGCATTGCACTCCTTTCTAAATGAAAAGCATCACCTTTTTCCCCTTCTGCCATTCCCAAACCGTGCCACAACATTTAAAAAGACTGGAAGCAAATACACAGTAGAGACGGCGCTGCAATCTTCTCTTGTAAACCGCTTCTCAATCACAACTAGACGTACCACTAGGAGGTGGCCCAAAGCTGCTCACACTGAACCCAGAAAGGTTTTTAATTCTTGAAAACAACTTGAAAGGAGCCTTTAAAGCTGAAGACCTTATTCAGATGTCTGTAGACTTTAAAGCCACCTGTAGATGTATTACTGAGTATGGCTGCAGCTCTACAATATGGAGCAGCTCCATTACTAGGATTATTTGTAGACCTGCAAGTATATTGATCGCCTTGGGCAGCAATCAGGAGTTAAATGGATTTAATCAGAGAATCACAGAATACCAGGTCAGAAGGGACCTCAAGGATCATCTGGTCCAACCTTTCTTGGCAAAAGCACTGTCTAGACAAGACGGCCCCGCACCCTGTCCAGCTGAATCTTAAAAGTGTCCAGTGTTGGGGGACCCACCACTGCCCTGGGGAAGTTATTCCAATGGTTGATTGTTCTCATTGTGAAAATTTTTCCTCTTGTGTCCAATCAGAATCTCCCCAGAAGTAACTTGTACGCATTACCCCTCCTCATTTCCATGTGACTCCTTGTAAAAAGGGAGCCTCCATCTTTTTTGTAGCCACCCTTTAAATACCAGAACATGGTGATAATGTCTCCTCTAAGCCTTCTTTTTCCAAGGCCGAACAAACCCAGCTTTCTCAGCCTTTCCTCACAGGGCAGGGTTCCCAGTCCTTTGATCACCTTTGTGCCCTTCTCTGGGCCCCCTCCAGCCTGTCCCCATCTTTTTTGCATAGCAAGGACCAAAACTGAACACAATATTCCAGGTGCAGCCGACAAGTGCTGAGTCAAGTGGGATGAAGACTTCTTCATCTCTGCTGGTGATGCCCTTGTTGATGCAACCCAGCATCCTGTTGGCTTGCTCTGCCGCTGCAGCACGCTGTTCACTCCTATTGAGCTTGTTGTGCACCAGGACCCCCAGGCCCCTTTCCACAGAGCGGCTCCCCAGCCAGGGCGATCCCAGCCTGTGCCGGCACTCCTGGATTATGTTTCCCCAGGAGCAAGACCTTACACTTGTCCTTGCTGAACTTCATAAGGTTCTTGTTAGCCTCCTCTCCCAGCCTGTCCAGGTCACGCTGCGGGGTGGCTCACCCTTCCAAAGTGCCCACTTCTCCACTCAGTTTGGTATCATTGTCAAACTTCATCAGGGTACACTTGGTCCCATCATCCAGATCACTTATGAAGATATTAAACAGTGTTGGGCCCAATATCGATCCCTGAGGGACCCCGCTTGTGACTGGCTGCCAGTGTGGAAAGGAGATATCTACCACCACCCCACGGGTACGGCCTGTTGGCCAGTTCCCCACCCACCACACAGACCACTTGTCTGGACCGTAACACATCAGTTTCTCTAGGAGGAGGCTGTGGGGATCCGTACCAAAAGCCTTGGAGAAATCCAGGTAGACAATGTCCACCACTCGCCTTTTCCACTCAGTGGCATACAAACACTGGCTGTTACACGCTGATCCTATGGGTGCAGCCTGCTGAGGATCCCAAGCAGAGTCAGAGATATCAGAAAAAGGATTAGTCACAGAAGGGGGCAGAAGCTGACCTGTGAAAATCAAGTCATCTAACTGATAAGTGGTAAGGCAGAAACCTATTTTTAAGTAGCATAGAGAGGAGGCAAAATATCTCCATCCTTTTCCACCAAACTGCAGCCTTGAAAGACTTTTGATAACTTCTGGATTTCCCAATTATACCATAACAAATCTCTCTAGATTCCAAACCAAGTATGATTTTCATTGAAAGTCTTACACCACCACCTGCTTCTACCCGAGCGTATAACGGCCCTACATGATCTGATAGCTCAGAAGTACAAATTGGGATTTCAAGGGGTTTCTTTGAAGACATAGCAACCTCTACCACCTTTGCCTAAGATGGAGAGTCAAATAATTTTAACGCTCAAAAACGTGTCTCAGCAACATCCTCTTCTGACTACAGATGATCCACAAGAACAGGAGTGCACTTGAGCATGGGAAGGAAAAAAGAATAATAAAGATAATCACGTTATGTTTGTCTTGCAGAGTAGTAAACTCAGCCTCTAAACAACCACCTCAGGAACCCAGAGGTTTTGGTATTCGGCCAGTAACACTGTGCCAAAAACATAACTACACCCAGAGGATGGCTGACATGAGAGTCCCTTCCCATAAACACACCCACCAAGCAGAAATACAGGATGCCAAATACTAGTGGATCCTTAGTATGGGTTGATCACTCTTCTGCCTTGCAGAGGGAAGTGAAGGTACTTGAAACACTATTAATATATTCCTGATGTTTGTACACTTAAAACAGGGGGGGGTCTTTCTTTCCTAGTCTTTAATGAGTTATAGATTTTAATTTTTAACACACACACTTTGAGAGATTACCAGAAGAGTTTAAATGATTCAGAAGAATAATGCCCTTTGATTTTCAGTTTGTGCTCTTGCTTCTCATAGGTACTTCTGAAAACTAGGTCAGGTCTATGATGTATATTTTAAATTTTGCAGTACTTGTGGGAGAGAATACAATACCTTAGCGCATCATTTGGCTGAAGACATCTTCAGAATAAACAGCAAGATTACCCAAAAATACTACATCAAAGTGCTTGAAAAGAAAAACAAAGCGTGGCCGCTTCACATTCGGAATAAAGATACATATATGATTAAGATGTCAGTCACATACCAACCTAAAGGAGGGGACCGCTCTTTTACATTTAAGCATCGCCATTTTCCCTTCTCCCACTGTGACATTTTGGCACAACACGGAATATATCAAAACACTAACGGTTTCCAAACTCACCCTAAATTAAGCACTGAAAAATCCTCAACTGTAAGCAAAATTAATTATTTAAGGAAAATGCTTTGCCTGCGAAGGGATGAAAATACCTCCAGAGGTGCTGGTTTTTCCTTTGAGATGGAACACAAGAAAATGAGAAACTGTTGATGTTTGTGGTTTTTTGCTATAGGAAACAATTAACAACTTCTCAAGTAGTAAGGCTATACAAGAAAAATTAGCAGAAAGAGCCAGTTTTCCTTTAGAAAAGAGTGCTCCCAAGAGACATGAATGTCTAAGCAACCAATGATTTCTCTCGCTTAAATGAAAGCATGATTTGCTAAATCGAGGCTAAACAGATTTTTTACTTAAAAATATACCAGTGCTGTGGAACTGATGTCAAAGGCTTTCCCCTGCAGCAATTCACACCAGTTCTTGGCCACCAGAGCAAAGGGGCTGTGCCTTTCAGCCTCCTTCTTCACGAACTCATCATCTCATATTTCAACACCACTGAATACTGTTTTGCATCTGGATTAATATAACCTGACATTTCATGGTCTTTAACTCGTTTCAAGTTAAAGATACACTGACCTCCCATAATGAGCAAACATTGGGGAAGCAAGGCAATGTTCCTCTAGCATGGAGGGAGCTGAGAACATTACAAGCCTCTATGGACACCGAGACAATCGTCAAGTGAGTTCTTATTTGAAATGGAAGACATTGTACAAGCCCCTTCTGAATTCCACCAAGATTTTAGCATCAGCGACATCTTGGAGCAAAGGATTGCCTTCACAGCTTAAATACTTCTTCACACAATGCACATCTCCTTTGCTTTGCTTTGGTCATGGCCCTGCTGGTATCGTTTGCTGTTCTGAGTCCTTGCATTAGGAAAGAGTAAACAGTCATTCCCCACCCACCGATTCCAGCCCACTCATGATTTCACATACTCTTCATAACCGTTCACCAAATTTTTTTCAGGCTGAGAAATCCTAGTCTAACCACTCTTCCAGTGAAACCTCTCCTACACCCCTGACCTTCCCTGCTGACCTTCCACATCCATAACCTTCTCGAGGACTGCACAGATTCAAATAACGGAGATTTTATCCAGGACATAATCACAGCCTCATTTTTGCTCTGTACACCTCTCCCAGTAAATTCTAATGTTGCATTTGCTTTTTTCACTGATAAGGACTGAGCTGATACTTCAAGATCATTTTAACTCCAAGAATTTGACCCCAAGTAATGGTCAGGCCAGTCCCTATCACTGCCTACACCCTTTTGAATTTTCTCTCCCCAGTGTACACTTAAATGCACTGACTACACCTTATGCACTCACATATTTCAAAATGCCTTCTGCAGTTTTCCATAGGTGGCCTTCATCTTTATGGCCACAAAACAGCTATGAGCTTGTAACCTCGCTTCTCCCCGTCTTTACAGATCATTTACGAATAGTTAGCGCTGCACAGGCTCCAGCAGAGATCCCTCCTGTACGACTGGCTGTTCTCACTTCCACCTCGTCTCCTGGGTCCAACCCATAAACTGAACTGAAAACTTTCCTTTCAGTTCTTATCAAAATACATTCTCAAGCAATCACCTTCCACTCCCACCGAGCTACACAAGAGCCACTTGGAGGTCAGGAGATGGCAGAGGTAACTCAGAACCATGTAAAAGCACAGTGAAAAGGTGGTGCCCATATGAATTTCATCTCCTAATGAGGTAGGCCGAGATGCTAGTACCCATTCAGAAGTAAACATTCAAGAAAAGATTCCAACATAATTCTTTTCCCTCTTTTTGCCCCAGTGAGGGATAACAGGACTGACCTTAATGTGTCTGTTCATAGCAGTAGACTGAGCAGCTCGAACTAAACCTTCTAGTTCAGCACCACTAAAGTTCTTGGTCTCAACTGCCAGTTCTGCAATGTCCACATCTTCAGCCAGCAGCTGGTGTTCCCGCATCCGTACTGTGTGGATATGAAGAATCTGGAATCGACCCTTCTCGTCCGGCAAGCCTGAGGTTTTAAACAGAACACGTCAACCAGTGTGTCAGCACAGCAACTGCAGCAAAGCCTCTCCCACTGCTCAATGGTCCTACTTCCAAAGGCTCTTTCTCACCACAAGCAGTTCATTCTTACAAGTAGACTATTTGATGATGCTTTTTGTTTGAGAACATTCAATTACACTAGCTGCCCCTGGCAAACTGAAAAAGCATAAGGTTTAGTTCCTTTCCTCAGGATTCCTCCCGAGTTGGTTGCTCTCAGGCTTCCATACCAGGAATCCACCTTATACAAAGGCAATCTGGTCAGTCCCTTGGCAGCCCTAAGCCCAGTTTCCACCCTGCAATTGTCACAGAACTGTAGAATCAGAGAACTGTCTGGGTTGGAAGGGAACTTTAAAGATATAGTCTACCCCCCACTACATGGGCAGTGACACCTCCCACTAGATCAGGCTGCTCATAGCCCCATCCAACCCGACTTTAAACATCTCCAACAATGGGGCACCCACAGCTTCTCTGGGCAACGTGTTCCACTGTCTCACCACCCTTATTGTAAGACCTTTCTTCCTCATATTCAATCTAAACCTGCCCTCTTTTGTTTAAAACCGTTGCCCCTTGTCCTGTCACTACAGGCCCTGGTAAAGTCCTTCTCTGTCTTTCTTATAAGCCCCCTTTAAGTACGAAATGGCCACAGTAAGGCCTCCCCAGAGCCTTCTCTTTGCTGGGCTGAACAACCCCAACTCTTTCAGCCTCTCTCCACAGCAGAGCTGTTCCAGAGTAGAGGGGGAGAATCACCTCCCTCAACCTGCTGGCCATGCTTCTCCTGACGCAGCCCAGGATGCAATTGGCCTTCTGGGCTGCAAGCACACATTGCCGGCTCACATCCAATTTTTCAGCCTCCAGTATCCTCACATCCTTCTCCACAGAGCTGCTCTCCATCCATCCATCCCCCAGTCTGTACAGATGCTGGGGACTGTCCTGACATTGAGCCATTGACTGTAACTCTTTGGGCATGGCCATCCAGCCAATCCCTTATCCATCTAACGGTCCTTCCATCAAACTTCTGTCTCTCCAACTTAGTGGCAAGAATGTTGTGAGGGACCTTATCAAAGGCCCTACAGAAGTCAAAGTAAATGACACCCGTAGCTCATCCCTTTATCCACCAACGCAGTCACTCCACCACAGAAGGCCACTAAACCAGTCAGGCACAATTTGCCCTTTGTGAAGCCATGCTGGCAGTCTCGAATGACCTCCCTGTCTTCCATGTGTTTCAACATATCTTCCAGGAGGATCTGTTTCATGACCTTATCAGGCACTGAGGTGAGGCTAACTGGCCAGTAGCTCCCAGGGTGCATCTTATTACTCTTCATTAAAATGGGTGCAATATTCCCTTTTGTCCAGTCACTGTGGACTTGGCCTGATTGACGTGACTTTTCAAGTATGATGGAGACTAGCTCAGCAACTACATCAGCCAATTCCCTCAGGACCCTGGGATGTATCCTGTTGGGTCCCACGGTCTTGTGTGTGTCCAGGTTCCTCAGCTGGTCTCAAAACTGATCGTCTCTTACGATGGGAAGGAATTCATCTGCCTTGAGGTTCAGGGATTTGAAAAATGTGGGAACAGTGATTACCAGCAAAAACCGAGGGGAAAAAATTGTTGAATACCTCAGCCTTCTCCATGTCTGTTGCCACCAGTTCCCCTGTTTTATCTATCAGGAGGGGATGGGGGTGTATATTTTCTTTAGTCTGCCTTTTCTAGCCAACACACCTTCAGAAGCCCTTCTTATTAGTCTTCACATCCCTTGCCAAATTCAGCTCCAGCTGTGCCTTAGCTTTCCTGATCCCGTCTCTACACATCCAGGCAGTGTCCCTACATTCTTCCAGGGATACATGTCCCTGGTTCCACTGCCTGTGCATTTCCTTCTTACACTTTAATTTGACCAGGAGGTCCTTACTGAGCCATGGTGGTCTCATGCCTTCCTTGTCCAATTTCTTACATGTGGGACTCAAGAGCTCTCACGTGCTAAGAAAAATGTCCTTAAAGAGCTGCCAGCTCTGTTCTGCCCCTTTACCCCTGGGGGCAGTTTCCCAGGGGGTCCCATCCACTAATTACTTAATCAACTGAAAGTTCACTGTCCTAAAGTTCAGGGTCTTGACTTCACTCTTCACCCGGCCCATACCATTCTCATTAAATGTTCATTTTTTCCAGCTGAGGTGATAATTTCCCAGTTCGCACCTTTGCAAGTCCTTTCTGAAATCCATATTATGGAAGACACAGAAAAGCCTTTTAAAAGAAAGCGTAACAAGTCAGCCTGGCACATCATCATCTTGGGAAATCCATGCTGTTCCTTAGCTCACTTTCCAACCTACCTTCACAGCCTTTATTAGAAGGATCTGATAATTTGCACTGATTAGAATTTGTGCTGAGGGTATGTGAAAAGACATTTTTAAATGTACATAGTCCCCAGCAGTGTTCAGTCCTTATCATCTGAGAATTTATTCTAGGGATGCCTCACTCAGTCCCTGGAATTTATTTAATTTAATTAACTTTTGTTAACTAAAGATGCAGGTACTACACCTGCAATACAATCAATCTCTCCTATGGTCACTAATTACAGTTGCTATCAAGCATTTGTTTTCAAGTATGAGGCTGTTCTAAGGCAACTGTCACTGTGGCTACACTTCTTCATCCCTAAAGCACTTTCTTTATGGAGTCTTCCCTTCAATGCCTTGTAGCTGTGTTAGTTTGCAAAGACTTATGTGGCTACAGTTTTTACCAATGCTAATTCTCTCATTACTATTCGTCAGCCTGACTTCTAATAATTCTCTATGTACTGCTATACCCTTCCCAATTTGCCCTTTTTGGATTAGGCCAGGAGCAGGCATGAGTTTCTTTCAATATTTTTTCCTGCATCTAACAAATGTCTTAGTCTCTCGCGTCTCTGGCATATTTGAAACCACCCATGCTGTCTGTGCGCCACAAGATCTCTAAACCCCAGCTAGCGCTCTAGTTGTCTCTCTAGTCCTGACATCCAACGCCTGATACAAACTGTTCCCTACAGTACTCAAGGACAGCATTAGCTCTGGAGCAGCAGCAGCAGCAGCTCCCTGCCTGAGTTACCTCTGTGGCTGCCTTAGCAGTCATCGGCTTCATTTCCTCATTCCTTCTTTTGCCTGAAATCTTTCTTTTTCAGCTATCACAAAAACTC